TGTCTTTGACAATTTAATGAGATTCTACATTTTAGTTAAACAAATGAATTGCTTTATTTTACCATTAGATAAAAATATTATGTTAAAACCTTTAAACTTTTGACCAGACCATAGTTTCTCATTTATTTTCTGTCAAAGTCTACCTTAATTATGTAATTACAATACAATGATGACTAATCTTTACATCGACATATTCTGTACGTAACACATACATTTACAAATGTCATTTAAATGAGTAGGCATTTATGCGATAAAAATAACAAATTTTTCCTTTTAGTTTTACTACTGACCTAAATAAATAATTACAAATATTGTAGATGTACATTTCCAAGTAAAATAATGAAACTGCATAACACAGAGATTCAATAATATAAAAGTAGACTGAACGAACCTTTTCGTAAATATATATCAGTAATCAACATAAGTAAATAAGTTGTCCAGAAAATAGACATTATATTTATTGTTTAATAAAATATAATCATCTTCGACTACTTCAATTGTGTGCTGTATTATAGAGTTATAACAGCTGACTTGTTTGTGTCAGTTAAATTTAAATTCTTGTATTTTTTCCCATCATAACTGTTTGTTTCTGTTGTTCTCTGTTAGATCTATGCAGTGAATTAATCATTTCAGAAAATATGTGATAATAATTGACAGACAGGGCAGATATTCAGTAGTTTAAACAATTGTTCAACTGTTTTATTTAGAAAACATTTAGTCCACACAAAAATTTAATTTATATTCCTTATAATAAATGATTATCATCAATATTGCTATTTAGAAAGTGGAAGACGAAAGCAACAAATATGATACACGTGAATTCAACGGTCATTCCGATTTCTGGAACTGATATACATGCTTTTTATACTTGAGCTTAACCTGCTGTTTGAGTGAGAAGATTAGAATATCATTCATCGTTCAACATCTGTCACTTTAAATTTGGCCTAGACCTAGATTACGCGTGTACTGAAGTGTGATATGTATTGACCCAGCCTGTTAAGGTGTGTCTATTTGTTGTTCCAACTACGCTAGTGAGTCAATATTATAGTTGCACAATAAGAATTGGAAAGTCGGTCAACACAAAGGTGAAACAATTTTGCTTTCTACAACCGATCAAAACTAACTTTTCTAGTTTGCCATCAAAATGTTTGAACATTAAGTATGAAATCTGAACACATCAAAAAGTCTAATATCAGAATAAATAGTGTATTTGTTTGAAAACATTCTCGAATAACCTCTATTGTTTACTAAACATGATCAGTTTGATTTATGGAATTCTACGAACATCTAAGTTTCATTAATGTTTGCCTTTTGAAGAGGAAACGCCAAGCAGTAGCCCTCATCGGTTCTCCAATAAAATCTGTCAGGTTCACTTACATAAGAAATTAAAGATGAATTTTGCAACGATATCAAGATCAAATTGTCAAACGAGACAGAAATACTTTTCATCAACCCCATTAAAAGCATGTCGAATAGATCAGCTAGAACAGGAGTTATTTATTTAATTCAATTTATTTCACATCGCCTTCAAGCTGCTAAATACTCGAAAATTTAATCATCATACGGAATTGAAAAAATGTAAATCAATAAAATTAAATTATAGAAATAGGGTAGGAAAAGACTAGTATCCAGTGAGTATTAAATAATTAAATCGGTGAAATTGTTAAGTATTATGTGAAAATTCGCCAAACCAAACAACAAACAAACAAAAAATGAGTTGGACTGACGCAACTGTTAAAATAATGATAATTGAAGCTAAAGAATATTGATCTATCTGAATAAAGAGACAAAAAGCTGGCAATATGTTACTGTTAAGTATACAGTTTCTATCATCATCATGTGGTAGCAATCGCTTTAAAAAATCAGTGCACACTCCAAAAATTCTGTCCGTTGTTGAAGTGGAAGACTATAGAAACATTAGTTATATGAACAATGTCAGTTGACTGATTGTATGATGTAATAGTGTAGAAGACTTGTTTTCCGAGCCAGGGTTTTCCTGTTATTATGTCAAGAGACTTTCTTTTGTTGTATATAGTGTTGTAGGAGGACAATTAAGACACTACTTTCAGACACTAAATCAGAAATATTAAATCCTGCTCTATGGGATTCTGTCGCAGCAACCGATGGTCATTAGTAATACTCATAGATATATGGTGTAACTCGGATATGAAGTTACGAAGTATTTGAATTTAAATATCTTTGTTACTCCCATGATTTTACTTAAATGTGTAAAAGTGAGACTATTCCAATTACGTGACATAAAAGGTTTCAAATGTGTCTGCGTAGTAAGATACTTTTGTAAAATAAATGAATATTCCAGAATTATATATTATTAACCATTGACAGGAGTATACATTTTGAAATGGTTGAGTGAAATCTAATGAAGTTATAATCTAATTTATTGTGCATTGCATATATTACTCGTTAATATTTAATTGCGTCGCTAACAAAGAAATTTTACTAATTACAACCGGTTACTGAATTAGCATTTTCTGAATTTTATAATTTTTCCTAATCCTCTACTCACAACCAGAATGTCGAATTGTAGACTGTATGATTTATTTATTGGTAGTGAAGTACACTGATTCACATCAAATAAACATCTACAACGGCTTACGTTTTGTCTTCCGAAAAGTGTTTCATTCACAAAAATTACTTTTTTTGTTTGCCTCTTACTGAGAAAATGACAACTTTGTAAACTTAGTTTTCAGCTGTGATTTTTTTTTGAAAGTGTTTTTTCTTGATTACTTTTATAGCTACACAAAAAATATTAAGCACCAAAAAGAATATGAATATCGCTTTGTGCTGAAATACTAGATGTATTTCATTAGCATTTATCATTATTTCATTCCCTGGAAACTTGCTAATCATTCTGTAACGTAGGTATAAACAAAATTTTTCTCAAATGCCAAAAAGAAGAGACTAGAGAAGAATTAATTTATTGAAGAATAGTACAGTTCGTAAACTGAAATAAAATAAAACAAAATACTGGAGACAGGAAAATAATCCGAAGCTGTTTTATAACTTTTGTTTTCTATATGAACGTTTTTCCTAATTTATGACATCGGTTTAACTTTGAGTTCGGATATAATTTAACAGAGAAAAAATGGTTCGGAAAATGTGTCATTTACATCGGTCTGAATTTATTCACTAAAAATAATTATAAACAAAACAAGCCCTAAGAAAAAAGAAAAAATTGTTATTGTTCTGAAAAATAACATTAGCATCCATTTGAGCTTTAAATTTTCTTCTTCGTTTCGAGAAGGACTTCAGAAAAATAATTCATAGTTTGAATTTTTGTCATCCAGTTTAGTGTGCAGTTGGTAAAAAAACTATTTCCAAACTACATTTTTAAGCTTGTAAGCCGTCATTACGAAAACGGAACAGTAATTTCAAGAGGGTGACCTTTTCTAGGAAACGGTTTGTCGATAAGGTTATTTGGATTGATAAATGAACACTGTTTTGAATAAAAATGTTTGGTTTCTGCCCAACAGTCATTTTTCAAATTCACTAGAAAACTCGTCAACTGAGTGAACTGATTTTTATGATGACACTTGGGACTATCACATGTCTCTTAAAAAATCAAAGTGTTATTCATCATGTATGATTATACTAATTTGAAATATAGAAATACATGTATCTATCATGTTTTATAAGAATTTGAGCGGTAAAAGTGATAATATCGGTCGATTGATATGCCTTTCTATTCCAAGTTACTCGATTGGATTTTAAAACTACAATTTAATTGTAAAATGTTTAACATCGTGACAAGAACTCGATATCTATTGTGACTTAATTTTACAATCATCAAACAATCTCGTGTCGCTGTTTCCTGTGAATGAAAAATAGCAGATCAGAAGTATTTCACTATTCAAAGGAAATACTATCCTTTGTATATAAAATCTTCAGTTAAATAAATGACTCATCCAACCACATTTACATACTTAAAATCTATAAAACGTTTAATATTTAGATAAGTATTATTTAGTGTTATTGTGAGTTTAAACTTCCCCACTTCGATTTGTGAGACATTCCTAATCCATGGTTTGAGACTGTAAGTAGTATGACTTCTGACTGTTTGACTCTAATATCATATCGGAAGTGCTGAAAACCATATACTTTTAAAAAGATTTAAAATATATGTTGATGGCTGCATTCACAAAAACCATTGGTAGCATTTTTGGAAATAATTTGTTTCTTTTTCAAAATGTTCTACAAGGCATGCTGTCATTCGGTAAAAAGTAACACAGATTATTACGATTCGAGTGATGTGTTCTTTCACTCATAGCCTTATCGCAACATTCAAGGTCAAAGGCAGTCGAAAATTTACTATATTGGCTTGCATAAAACAAAGATTGAACATGTAAAAAATACATGATAATGACTTACTGACTTAGAGAGGAGCGGAAAATATGCTCTATTATGATAATTTGAGTTTGTCCAAAAATAATTAGTACGCCTTCAAGTAAAATATTATACAGTCAACAGCATACGTCCACATTCGTTTATCAAATTTATTTATAATCTTGCAAAGTTGGCTGTTTGCGTCAAAAATGATTTTAAAAATACCTCAAACATTATAAAAAATTTTAATTCATTAACATTTTATTATTTTTAGCATTGTCTTGAAATGATGTTCACTGACAAATAAATTTGAAGGAGGAAAACGACAGTTTGGCATCAACGTAATTACTACTAGTGTGGATAATGTTGTACAGTTATTTATCATTTGCATTTTAGAAATACGGTGAATTCACAATTAGAGAATGATGATTAAAAAATATTAGTTTAGGTTCAGTCAACTGAACAAGTAACTATAGACTTTGTAAAAAAGATGAATGAATAAAGCAAATTAAGAAGTGTTGAAACTACAGCTTTTATTTTAACTTTATCAATCTTATTTACTTTTAGCTAAATGAATTGTCGAAATCCATAACATTACAAGAGGTGCACTTTACGTCTACATTGACCAATAGAAAAATGCCTTGAAACTTAAAAAAATGTGGACAGAGGAGAAGTTACATATACAAAGTCTTCAAATTCTTATATCCTTTACATATCTAATTAACTCTTGTTACAGTAAATATTTATATTCTGAATTACTTGATTCCAATCAAATAAATGGTATACAACCAAATTTAACACAACCATATCAAGTTTCATTAACAATTAAAGAATCATCAGTTTTAAATACTGATTTAATAAATATCAGTCAAATTATGCAAAATCATGGTATTCTATTAGAGACATCAATTGAAGAAGCTGAAAAACGTAGTAGTTCAAAAATTATGAATTTTGAAATTTTAGATATCAGTGCTAATTTATTAACAGCATATCAACAAAGAAATCAGAATAATTTATTGAATATTATCGATTTACATCCAGTGAAAGGAATCATGAAATTCGGTGTACCATTAGATCGTGAACGTATATGCAATGATTTACAGAATACAAATAAACAGTGTAGAATAACTTTGTTAATAGCTGCTTATAAAATTAACAATCATGATGTAAATCAGCAGCAAGACTTAATTCTATCCAATAAAATGGAACAAATAAACAATGTGGATTACATTAAACATAAAAGTGAATTAATTTGTATTGAATTAATGATAACTTTACTGGATATAAATGACAATTCACCGTATTTTCCTCAAATTCCTGGTTCTGACAATCATCCTAGAATTATTAATATTGAAGAAGAATGTCCAATCGGTACAATGGTCTCTTTACCAATAGCTAATGATATGGATTCAGCTGAAAATGGTATTATCAAATATGAATTACTACCAGTTTCTACAACTGCAGAATTAACAAAGTTATTTGAAATTGTTCAGTTTCGGGGTTCAAGAGTTCAATGTGAAGATATGACCAGAAATGAAATGCATAAATTTAATAATACATATAATTTAGGTCAAGAATCAAACAGAGATTATTTCCCTATAGTACCATGCTTAAAAGTTGTTGGTAGATTAGATCGAGAACAAGTATCACGTTATACAGTACGTCTTATTGCTACAGATACTGGTGGACGAAAAGGTGAAACGATTGTACGCATAATAATTCGTGATATTAATGATCATGTACCATTATGGGCTGATAAACTGGAATCGGAATTATCACCTAATAGTCTATTGTTTATGGGATCAGAAAGAGTATTATTTCAATCCAATGAAATGATAGAAGATAATGAACATGGTGGAACAATTGTGAAGTATACTTTTCAAATTCCTGAATGTACTAATCAAAGACAGTTGTTACATTTAAATGCAAATGATATGGATGAACCAGACAGTGATTATGGTCGTATAACATATCATTTAAATGATCAAACAAAAGATTTTGAACAATTAAGGCAGAGACTTTTTATTTCTGGAGAGTATATTTACTTAACTGATTATGGCTTGAAAGATCTAAATCAAGCCAATTTAACCATCATTGTGACAGCAACTGATGGTGCCGGTAAAAGTAGTGATGCATGGATTCAGCTTTTAGTGCAAGATTGTAATGATCACAAACCGATGATATTAGTAAGTAACAAAATGATAATGAATTTAACTCTAATTTCATATTTGTTAAGAAATTATCTCAGGTTTCATGTAATAAAAAAAATTATTTAGTAAATTTAAAGATGTTAGTAGAACATTTAAGTAAAAAGATCACTAACCTAGCCCTTAGAAAGAATTATATTAAGTTACTTGTAATTTTTGGGCTGTTGCAACGTTCAGCGTTTCACAGTGAAAACACTTGTAGGGTAAAGAACAGTTGTTCACGCGCAGGAACGAAGGTCCCGGGTTCGAATCCCACCAGCTGCAGGAGTCGTGGATGAGCACTGCTGATGGATCCCATACTAGGATGAAACGGACGTCCAGTGCTTCCAGATTTCTAATGGTGGTCTAACAATGATTGATTGATGATTTTAATGTGCAGCAGACACTAATCTCTATAACTTTGATTCAAGAAACAAATAAGGTCAAAACAATTTGAATTTAAATGAATCCCCAAACTTGAAGCATCGGGCCATCATCAAGAGGTTTCATTATTCAAACCTACAACAGTTTAATCAATAATTTATTTATCCGTGTTATTTGAGTAAACAGCAGGATTATAATATGTGGGCGAACCGATCAGATATGTGATATCAAGTCTCATGTATTGGAGTAAAACCCATTTGTTCATACGTTTGAACAACACTTGCCACTATAGCTGATATCATTTTGATGACAAAAACCCTAGCGCTAATTCCTGAGTCTTACCTTTAACTCCAAAAAATGCTCAAGCTCCTTAAGGAAATCTGTATTCTTTTTTTTAACTCTGGTAAGCAGGTGAATTTACTCATGATCACTTCAGCATCACTCAAGGATAATCCGAAAATCATATCCTCATCAAGTAAACTGTCATTGTAACTCAATGTTTGAACGTTGCTATCCTTTGTAATATAACAGGGATGAGATTATTCGACTACTCCCCCTGCCAACGTCTCACTCTATTATCTAAAATTTGGCACAGACGTTTTGTATTATTGTTGGTAACATAATATTTTAATCAAATTTCCGATTCGGATAAAACATCTCAATTGATCGATTTTCATTGTTTGTAATATCTTATACCTTACCAATAATTTTTAGACTAAAATGTTGATGAATAGTTTTAGAATATTTATAATGCAGTAACGAAGAAATAGATCGACGCAAATCTGGATTGTTCTCTGACTCACTTAAGAAGAGGTTAATGCTTAACTTCAAATCATCAGAAATTCAATTTACAATTGTTATTTTTGCTATCACAGTCAAACAGTGAAGTAGTGCACACTTTGGAAGATACAAACACCATAATTTACTTTAACCGATTGCATTGACGAGAAGAATAATATGAACACAATGATCCCTTGAAAACTTCATCCGAAACCAAAGAACAAGAACTCGCAGATGAAGTTAAAACAGAGCTGTACGAGACAATAAATTACAGACCAGGTATAATATTTATGTACTTCTGATACTAAATTAAGAGCACGAAAACAAAACGGAAATCAATATGTAAATCAACTACCACCGATGTGAAACTAAGTTTTTGATAAGTAGACGGAAAATGTATGTTTGAAATCCGACTTGTTATTTGATGCATACAAAATATGTTTCTAATTCTAGGAAATATATATATATATATATATATATATATATATATATATATATATATATGCATATACTTGATCATTTCTAATTTTAAAAACAGCGTATCAACCGATGCTTTTCTATTCATATAAAGTTTTACTCTTGTCTATCGTCGGCTCGTTTCATTTACTGAGTAAATGACTACTAAGTCATAAAGAATAGTTGATAAACTAGTGTATGATTCTACTGAATAATAAAATACTTTCTGTATATCAAGTAAGATAAAACTCAAAACAGTCTTGTCTGGCTGCATCTTTTAAAATCTATCTAATAATATTTAGATTAACGTATGTTTAGACTCAAGTATTTTTAAAAGGAGATAAAGTGCTATAAAACTGAATTATGCGTAAACTAGTTATTGAGCTCTTAAGAAACTAATAAACCTATCAACTTTCATAATGACACTAGAAAGGCTGAAAAAATAATATAAACAGGTTAACGAATTGCTGTAATTCAAAATATTTTTAATAGTACCTTTTGTATGTGATAATGTAGTATGTCTAAAAGTAGTTATAAACCTTCCTGATAATGAGTTAAGGACGTAATAATTCTATTTTCATTTTTTAGATGAGAAATACTGAGTTTTCACTAGTAGAAAATGCAGTTGGTAAACAACAGTTGATAAGCTTAATAACAGTACGTGATTTGGATCTGACTACATCACCGAATTCGGAATTTTATTGTAATTTAAATGATACAACATATCTTACACTTTATGAAGTAATGTCTGGACCAAAATTAAATGATCAACGTTATCAAGATAGTATTTCAAACACTGTGAATACACATAATGGATTTTTATCGCATAGACATGATAATGACGATGAGAAGAATACTGGTTTCTTTCGTCAAGGAAGATGGGTTGTTTATCGATTAGAAACTAAAAATTCATCATCATTTGATCGTGAAGCGACACCATATTATAATGTTCTGTTACAATGTTCAGATAAAGGTTCACCAATGCTTACATCCAACCGACTGATAACAATTAACATACTTGATGTGAATGATAACGCGCCAATGTTTGTTATGCCTGATCAGTCAAGATCAACTCCTTTGTTTTCAGTAAATACAGAGAATAATAGAAAATTATTTTATCAGTCATCTGCATCATCATTTCCTTCTTCTGTCCGTTCAAAAAATGATCAGCCATTCACTTATCATTTTAATCTACCAGAAAACGCTTTGCGTGGTACAATAGTTGGCAGTATTCATGCTATTGATCTGGATACTGGTGATAATGGCCGAATTACTTTTGAATTAAGGAGTCAAATTCCATTTTATACAAATAAACCAATTTTATTAGGTACGACAGATAGCACTGCTAACATTAATAACGATAAAGAGAATGATAGTAGAAATGAAAAAGAATCGCTTAGCATGGATCATGTGTTCAGCTTAGCACCAAATGGGGATATTCAGTTAATTGATGAATTAGACAGAGAAACAATAGATCGTTATGAGCTATTTATTATTGTAAGTGACAATGCGAAAACCAATCGATTATCATCAACAGCTACAGTTATAATTAAAATAGAAGATGTTAATGATTGTAGACCGGAATTTTTCGGGGATTACGTTTTCGAAGTAAGTTCGACCAGTTTAAAAATAGTTTTTTGTTTTCATCACACAGAATAAAGCTTACATCAAATTTATGAATATGTGTCATCATGAGTTACTGTTACGTATATGGGATTAGTTTGAATGAAATTACTTGAAGGTTAGTTAGAACGATCACAAATTTGTCTAAAAACAAACATCTGAAAACCAAGAAATGTTCGACCTCGATCTCATCTTACTATTGTGGTGCACTTAGCAGCTCATATCTTTAGCAAAATCGACAGCAAAGACGTAAATCATAAGGCTTGGAATTTAAAACTACGCTTTTATTCAAGGTAATTTACTCTGTTTTTAACCAATAATCACCAAGATCTAAGAGGTTAGTGAATACGATAATACGAAGGAAAAGTTTGGAACACATGTGACTTTTCCTTTTTCAGTATACCTCTAATATTTCCATAGTTAAATCATTGTTAACTGTAATCAACTAAACCACTAAACATTAGTAAATAAGTCGTAGCACATTTAGGAACAATTGACCTACCCAAATATCGTTTGCATGGGATATCGCACCATTAATGAAACAAGGAAGACGTTTTTATTCTGAGAGCTTTAGTAAAATCTTGATGGAAACGGACGATCGGTTTAATTGTAGCAATAAAGTTAGGTAATAATTTAATTTATTTCACACTTCTCTAAGGTTGAAGTAAGACTTAGGACTACTTACTAGTGATTCTGAACTTACTGAACACCAACCTTAATATCAAGTAAGTCGAGAATAGTGAATTAGATGGTAAGATATTTCCCGTGCTGTATCTCTTTCATGTCTTCCGTAAGTGATATTTTTTAGTGGATGTTAGTGTATTAAAATTTATTGAAGAAATACTGATGGGAATAATGTGCGAGATCAAGTTGTAATTTCTGATATCAAACGTTAAGTTTATTTGCGTTCTGAAGATACATGAATATAACCACATTGGAAAGTATTATACTATCAGTGTTCAGTAATATGTAAGATCCAACAATATATAGTGATGATGATTAGAAATTTCTAATGTCAGCCAATGAAATGAAATTTTCAACATTACATACTGAATGAAAAAATTTGACCATGATTAATACTTAGCAGACAACTATCACATACATCATAGTATTATAGGAGATCAAAAGTATTCTTAATACATCACTATTTATGAATTTAAATGCGACATTAGTAGGCTTACATTAGAATCCAACAATGAAGATACATCCCTTCAATATTGAAAATTCACTTTATGGACGTATGCTACCACTAAAGTTTGGCCTTAGTTAACTTATTTGTTATCAACAACTTCGAAATAATACCGATATAATCTCACTGAAGATGATCACCTAAAACTGATGATATTTTTCAAACTATAGTTAATTTCATGTTTACTATCCAAGTTCTAATATTTTCTTTACGAAGTGTCATTATCAATCAGTTTTTGCACCTAAATCATCAAATTGAAAGCTTTAAGATGAAACTTATTCAATTATATTATCTGTTTAATCTGTGACTGAGTTTATTTGAAAATAAATAAATAAAGCTTGACAACTAGCTAATAAACTAAATATTTGAATGAAACAATTTTGTCGTTTAAAAGATGAGTTTTCAGCTTTGAATAATTACATGACCGATTATACATGACTCATGTACTTTGTTCTCGTTAGCTGTTCAATGTTATGTTCATTCAAAAAGAAGCTTTGACTAACTAAGCACAAGGCAGTGTTATGTGCGGTCGCCATGACAAATATGGTACACTATTCTTGTTTCAATTAGTAAACGAAATTACCAATGCGCTAATTTTGATATTATAAACGATAGCCAATAATAAATTGTATAAATAAAAAATATCCAACCAAATGAATGTAAAACAAAGTAAAATGGTCCGCATATAATGAAAATACGCTGGCAAAATCTCTAAATAATTTGATTCAATGTTGACATGAAAATGTGCATTGTATTATCTTAACAATTCGTATATCTGTCTGTTTATTAATAACACTGAAAACAAAGTTAATTAATTATCGAGAGTAAATACATATTTCTATTTAAGTGTAGGCATTCTTGCTTTTTATACATGTTCATTCGCGTTCAATCAATGATTAGGTTAGTTCATGTTCATTTGTCTATTCAGTGAAGAGATAAACGAAAAATACATCTCTTCAAAGGATTCATTTATTTGTCTGATATGATTTTAACTTAATCACTATTCAAGCCATAATTCATGATGTTTTCTAATGGAGACAACCTGAAAATATGTATTCAAATGTTGAGAGAGATGGCTAGTTAACTTAATTGCACAATTCAAACTTTGATTCTGAGTAGATAACGAAAAAGAATGCACTAATAACAATTATTTAAATATGATACTATTTTACTCACACGTCACAGTGAGATTATGCTAAAAGTAATTTTAAGAACTTTATAAACGAACTTTATCATTAGGTGAATGATAATAATTTTTCATAGATACAAATAGTAAAAGTTTTTCTGGTCGTTGTAAAGTTAGTTTTAATAAACTGTGATCATGATTTGATTTGCTTACGGTTAATAAATGTTATTCTTAGTTGGATAGTTTGTATTTATTGTTCTCGTAAATAAATTTGTTACAAAATCTCACTGTAGTTTAGCATCGGGCATCATTATAATTGACATTATCTAGTATTTATAGTGATGCAATTGTAGGAATGATCATCACTTAACTAAGCTTAATATCATTTTCATAATATTTGTTCTGCTGAGAGAAACCTTTTATAAAGCAGCTTGTTTTATTGATGTCACTTCATGTTGCTCAAACTAGATTGTAGATTAGTATAATCTACTGGAAAACAAGCTCACCAACGCTGAATTCTTTAGAGTTCTGTTAGTGTTTGGAAGCAGTTGTAAGCGTGTATCTTTTCTTCTAAGACTATTTAATTAATAAATCAGTGTCAGATGATATTAAGATATATTGAAGTGTTTTACCAAAATTATTTCTACAATTTATCTTCATCGTAACTCATATGACTATTTAATACCTGCACTATCTTTTTCCCACATGCAATTTAATAAAAAGACCGTCGTTTCTTTTTTACAACACAAGTTCACTGCTTACTTGTGTTATATTATAACACTTATTTCTAAACTATATTTATTCATCGTACAAAAACACTGAATGTTTTAGTGACACATATACACTGATAAGGAATACAACACTAAAACGAAAGAACTGTACAAGGTTAACGATGATGTTCAGTTGTTATGAGTATACAAAGTTTAGTAAAGTAGTTCACATGAGAACCATATATAGAAGCTGGTTTTTCCGAAAAGTTCGTCATAGTATGTGAAAGTGAAAACAGGCAGTTTTAAGCTTTTCTAACCAAATATTATGTTATTAGTAAATATTCGCCCATACACTTTTCCTAAATTAAACATTAATTTTAATTTTAATTAAACTTCGTGAGCAACTTTGATTACCTAATATAAATATTAATTTTATCGTATTTATTCTTAAATAAAAATTAATCATGTGTTCAGTATCTGTTTTGTTGTCAAACATTCAGAGTACTGGAATAATTATGTACAATAGGTATTACATATATATAAATATGTATGGCATGAACAACTTCAGTAGTTCCACAATTGTCAGAATATTATGAGATGAGTTGAAATGTAATCAAATTGAGGGAAAAAAAAACTTTAAAAAACCACTTACTGATTAGCATCGGATCGGTTATACCAAATCATAATAACCACTTAATGGTTTGATAGGAATAAAAGTATAGATAAACTACAATACAGCATTTAGAATAATAATCAGCTTTTTGGCTATATTAATCACATAAATTATAAATTATCTGAAGTGTTGTTGAACACAAGAATAGATTGCCAAGTCAGCATATTTATTACTAGTTTCATAACAACTACCATTAGTATACATTGTATAAATAAGCGAGAGATATACCTAATATTCTTTAAATACTGTAGTGATTTTCTATATAAAAGTCAAATAACCTTAAAATTTGGAGATTCATTTGTACAGAAGTTGTAACTGCTTATTTGCTAACATTCCAATATGATGTTGTGGTAGACAATAAAATATGAAGCTTATAAGTTGGCCGTAGTCATTTTACGATACCAAGGCTTCATTTAAGACAGCTAAGTTCATTTGTTGTTTAATCTGTATTTGTTTTGAAAGTATGGTTTCGATTAACGTTAATATGTCAACAACTGTGTTTATAGTTGAAGTCACACAACACAAACTATAACATGTTTTGATTGTTTTTTTACCGTTTGAATTAGATTGTTGAAAGCTACGGCACTTCAACTATTCATCAAATTCTTGGAACTATAGTGGCTACAGATATGGATTTGGGGCGTAATGGGTCAATAACGTATCATCTTGGTGCCCAACAAGATAATCGGAACAACAATATCAACAGTAAATTATCAAGTTCAACACATACGTTTGGTTCACGCTTAATACAGGTAATTTCAAAATTTATATAGAGTAGGTGGCCTCATACGTGAATTACATGCAACTATTTTAATTTTCATTTTATTTGTTTGTCATTTTAATACGAGTATTTAACTAGTTTACACAAGTATTTTAACGCCAAATCTGACGAAAGGATTGCGAAGTTAAACATTTTTCTCTTACTACCTACCACTTTATCCCAATGTTCCGTTAGTTTTCTACGGCTATCCAAAGTCATTTTGATAAGTTCGAATATAATTTGATTTTTTGAATATTATTGCACACATCTTTCTGTATAATGAGTAAAACAATCAGGACAAATTATCTGTCATTTAGAAGATAATTAATTTTGAAAGAATTAACCGGAATTCAGAATGTATACTAATGTCTTGTGAAAATTCTAAAAAAGAAAACAACGAAATAGACGCTCCGTTTGTAGTGATACTTCAAGACCAAGTACTTAGGTGGTGGTATTGTATATACTTTTTAACTAATCTTTGAAAGTTTTCCTACTATTTAACTAAGGAGTCCGGGGAGATGAATGGTAAAATATCCCCCGTCAATTATACATCTTGGTATGATTTAAAAAAACCCGTGATAAATGTAGCAGAAAAACACTAGACAATCCAGGTGAAAGTAAATTGTTAATAAGTAGTGGAATATCAGCTATTTTTTGTATCTTCAATGTCGGTATAATAAAATTGGTCAAGTTTATGGTTGACAGTGGTTACTGCTGAAGTATCATAAAGCAAGCTCAAAAACGATTAAGTATAGTTCGTACTGATGTATTACTGTATTATTATGAGTTTAATATGCAGACAGATAGAGAGAACATCAACAAACTTTCTGTTTGAATTCATACTGAACAATATTTTCATTCTATGGAAAAACAGAATTCCAACGACAGACATGTGAAGCAATAATTTTCCTATGATACAAATATGCATGTGGATTGCTAGGTGAGAAACTTCAAAATAGGATTAAAAAGACCAAAAATTTTAACAATTTTCATGTACACTAACAGCTAGATTCGATTTAGAACAAGGGAACAGAAACAAATACAGAAAACATGTTTGTTCATGTGAATAAAAATCAATATTTCAAGTGTTCTTACTCTACACAATAAAATGAACTTTTATGAACAGCTTAAATGTGTGTCAACTCAAAGCGTGTACAAAGAAGTGAATAATCTAACAAAATCATTTATGGTTTCAGGAATTCATAGAGACATTGGTATGATGTAGGTATAATAAAATATGATAACTAATTCAAATGGTTGCAATAAAGAAACTATAAATAAAATACTAATAATGTGGTTGCTGTAAGTATCCGATGAATTGATGATCACTTCATGTTTACTTCTGGGCAGTAAGTTGATGCAAATTGGTTAAAGAAATATCAAATCATCTTCATAATTTAAATTGATATCTCAATTGGCTTCGGTTAACTTAAGTGTTTTGTATGCTTGTCAAGTAATTCATACTCCTAGCTTTGTTCCTTTTTTCATTCACTGAATGAGTGCTGGTTTTATTGTTGTGGTGCGAGCTACTTATGAGTAGTATATGACGTGAGTGTCAACGTAATGTCTGGCAGAAGAAGATGGGGGAAGATCAAGAAAGGAAGAGTTAGAACACAATGGAATTTGTATGAAACGCATAAATAGTAACAATGGATTGATGTTTTTCAACAGGAACAGTCCAGTTCGATATGATAGACTGATATTCTGCAAATTAACGATTGACGATCTGGTTTTCCTATTTTACTGAGTAACTCTGATTTTTTTTCAGATCAGTCATGATGGAAAGATGACTGTTTATGGAGTAATTGACCGTGAAAAGACTCCTATAATTGTACTGACTGTAATTGCTGAAGATAATGGGATTCCTGTGAAATTATCTAATTCCGTAACTGTTACAATACATGTATTAGATTTGAATGATAATAAACCGCGTTTCATTGAATCGTCATCATCATCATCACCACGTCCACAGTTGGTAAACAAGGATGAAACGTTTAAGGGAAATCCTGATAATGGAAGGATGAATATTGTTTCACCATCATCGGGATTTAAGCTGAATCTAAGCTTGGATACAAATGTTGGTACATTACTAACTGTGGTGAGTTTTTAAAATAGAATAATATGATAAAATTTTTATGCTTCACATGACTGAAATTAGTCAAAGTATATATGATATTTTGTCAAGAACGTTAAAGCTTCATTTATAATTTTTCTTAACGCAAATAGAACGTATTAAAAAATAATAAAGGTGATAAATTTCAAGCGATGATATCTAGTCTAATAAAATTATTCGGATCAATTATATTAAAAATAAATTTCATAAAATGGTGTTTAGGTAATCATACTTTTTCCAAAGTTTGATGATAGTAAAATGTTTAGCATTTTAGAGTATTTGTCTGCTTAATTAGTGGGTTAGTGTTTTAAATAAGAGCATAATTAATTCTAAGGATTTCAATTCGATCATTTATGGCTATAAAGTATCCTAGTTCATCAGAAGTAAAAGCAAATACAGTCAAATAGTTTAAAAAGAAAATCGTTAGTAAAATATTGCCCACTGAATTAACGTGAAAGTGCGTAAAACGCTCAATACTCCATTCCTACTGAACATTTAAAAACGGATGTGCTTCAAATTCACTGATACCTATCTTGTCTCATGAAAATTTGTTCTGCTTTCAAATAATGTCAGATCTAAATATGTGATTATTATTGTAGTAGTTGTACAGCGTAGACCTAATACGACTTTTAAATTTGTTTATTCATCGGAAGTGGAATAAAGTTTCAATGACTGGATATTTTAAAATGCATAAACGTGAACTTGAAGTTTTTTTTCAATTTTTTTAGTCATGGAAAACAAATGATTAGAATAAGATATTCTAAAAATTTATTTGATATAGTTGCAAAAATCTCAAATAACGTAATAATGACTGTGAGCACTTTTAAAATAAAAAACATTTATCTTATTATATCTGATAATGTTCATGGCATTGTCTTATAAAATATGAATGACTGCTATTCTTGTCGTTGTAAATTTTCACAGTTTATAGAATTGGAAGTGAACCCACGTGCGTGACAATAGCACGCATTAAAATGGTCTCGATATTACTCATATACATTTGTAGATATACATCAGTAAAAATAACTTCATAAATGTATTCTTATTTTCAATGTAAACTTTTACTTATTTTGTTATTATTTAAAACAAGTTTAAACAGACGTAAATAGATTTTAGTAAATATGTTATTTACTACTCTAGAAAAAAGTAGACACGATAAAATTAATAGAAAGATACTTTCAGACAACGTGATATAAAATGTGGAAAATAACCTAAATGTTATGCTCATTGTAGGTTTCAACATCTGTCAATATAGTTTAGTGTTTCAATAAACTAATGACTTCCGTAGAATTTAATATAATTAGTATTTCCTTTGAATAAAATATATATATATTTGTTTTACTATTTCGTTTGGATTATTTTTCTCAATAACCAAATGAGCAACTTTTAAATGAATAAGTAAATTAAACTATTAAATGTTTGTGGGCGTCTAAGAGTTTAAAAATGATGCATGTTTTTTTAAGCGTAGAAAATAAGGCATTGATCAAAGCAATGGGAAAATAAACTTTCAATCATATTCTTTATTCGTTTTAAAAGCAAAAAGAACTCTCAGCATTTGCACTGGTACTTTCTAATTAAATTATAGCCATAAATAATTTACAATAATGATATGAAATTGAAAACAGTAATCCATTGGGAAAAAAACCCAAGTGTTTTTTTTGAGCATACCTAATTATCAGTTAGATGACCATAGGTAAAATCCATTATTTTTTTTCATTTCAAAATCCAATAAAAATTTCAATTCATTGACATATGTCACCATGATGTCCACAATAATCAACATAATTGAAAACTGCAAGACATTTTTTAGTTGGGTTAGAATGTTTGAGACAGATTATTAGGATGTCTTGGGAACCATATGAAAAACATATGAATTATTTATTTTCTTGAAATAAATAAATCTAAAACTTATAAATTTTTGTCAACAAAATTTATTATTTTGAAAATGATTGTTATACTAGGCAAATAGCTCCAAGTTTTTAATATATCTACTTATTTATCAAATGTTAGGCTATCTTGTCATCTCAACAGAATTCAACACCATTTGTGCATTTACTTTATGTTCATTCTGTAAACTATTTGCTAATAGACTTCAATTGCCAGTAATTGATTACCGGCGATTCAATTTCGCTTATCGCAGCTACAATAACTGATGAATATCAATGTAAGCTGATTCACATAAATACACTCAATGCTTCGTTTACAAAACTGATATTTAAAGCATACAATTAATTCTACAAGTAAACTATTAAAGGTATTTAAGAGATCAGCAACTATTAGTTTATGAGTTACTTACTATCAACAGTTCAAATGTTATTTATTTTCATACAACCGGTTTCTTTTACGAATTTGAACAAGGCCAAAACAGAAATTAAGGCAGAATGATATGAACTCATTTTATGTCATGCTTTTTCATCAACTACTTACAGATGTATTCATATTGAAGTGTACCATTAGGATATTGGTACTGACAATAGAAAGAATTAGATTACTAATAATAACTATATATATATGTATATATATATCAAATTAAGAAACGTGAGAGAATGAAGAAGGATTAAATAGAGCCCGGAAACTGACAAAATGGATTTTGTGATAACGAAAGATCTGAAAAATTTACTTAAGTTTCAGATCACCTATAGATGAAATAAAGAGACTAGCTGGTAATTATCCAGAGTTCCTAAGGAAGATGGATTACGTAATATAGTAAAAATAGAGCTCAGTGAGCGGAAAATAGATAAACGGAGGGATAGTTTAAGCGTATACGAAATAACAATTAGCTTGGTTAGTATTCCACAACAAAATAAACAATTATAAGATGACAGTAGTAATAACAACAAGTAAAATTATCTTTTTACCAGTGGCACATTATTTGATGTCCCTTTTTTGACACATAAAACTAGTTTGAGTTTTAAAAATCACAAGTGATTCACCAAACCAAAGAGGGGCTGCTTCATTCTGTTAGCTGATAACTTTGAAGACTTGAGGAAAACCATTAAGAAGCCAGAATAAATTAAATACCGGACTTCTGCACTCTTTAAAGGCGGTGCACTTCTTTCAAATTCTTTGGGACATGCTTTTGCAAATGCACGTTAAGTGTTACGTTGAGCTGAAACTACTGAGAATAGATAATATATCGATGCTTGTTTACCAAAGGAAACATATTTTTCACATAAAGAGGTCAGTCTAGCAGCTGGATAAACAATTTTCCTTGCAACATTTGTTCTTCTATTAATCGTACCTTTAATTTCATATAAATGCGAACAAATGTTTTTTCTAGCTGTATAGAAGCTAAACGTCAGTTAGGTGTTTGATTCCGGTAGTTATTGATGTTCACGTGAATATTTGTTGTTTGTTAAAACTTATGAGAGAAGTCTATGAAAAGCATAATCTATTGGGGCTCTTTTACACAGCGCTTACAACTTATCATGATGTCAAATTGTGCTAAGCTAAAGATTGATAGGAGTGACTGTAATACATCGTTTTTTGTCTACTCTTTTGCATAATAAGAACTTGTTACATTAAAATTTATATATTGGAACGAAACTTTATCGTGGATGTTTACTGTTTTACGAAATAAAACCTAAAGTTAGAAGATGAATGGATAAAGCTATTTTCTAAACAAAAGTGGGAAATATTCACTACTACAAACTTGAAATTTTTGCACTTAGTATAAAAAGGTTGTCCTTAATTGTCTCTAGAAATGAAAAAGATCAAATCAATGTTTAGTTGTATTAATCATAAGTATCCGTAAAAATACACAACCATTGCTTTAATTACTATTTGGCTTCATCGATAAACCAGTGGAATTACTCACTCTTGTTAACTAGCTAATTTTACAAAGGGATACTACAATTACATTATGTAATTACATTTCATGTTCTTGTAGGATTCCATTTGATAACTCAGAATGATGGAACTACACTAAAAAGGGTTGTAATATGAATTAGGGATTGGTTATCGCTGCACTTTGTTTATATTCAGCTTAAGCTCAACATATAGCTCACATTAACAGTTAAGGCAAAAAACTCCTAATTATATGATTTTATATGCCTCATACGTTTTGATTTTTGTCGATTTATTTGCTTTCAGTTTGAAGCTTATGACCCAGACAATGGTCCCAATGGAACTGTGGTTTTTGATATCGCTTACTCAGGAGCACTTGGTATATCACATGATGTTAAAAGCTTAAAAAATGGAAAAACCGACGGCGATAGTTCCGATACACCCACATTTATATTGCAGTCAGATGGACGTCTTCTCTTGTCTAAACGATTAGTTTATTCTGATATGATATCTCCTACACCAAACAGTTTTCCAAAAAGATATCGTCGACCGGATAGATTGTTAATACGTGTTTCAGATCAAGGACCAACTCCTGAACAGTCGGTTACCAGTCTACAAATCTTCTACTACGATCCTATCGAGACAATACAAAACACATTTTCTGAGAATTATTTTCACATGACAAATACGAAAAGCGATAGCAATAGAGATAGTAAATATGTTTCCGTAAATCAAAATAAGGAAACCGGTAATAGTAAACACTACGCCTACAAATCAAATCCTCAAACGTTTCTAGGTTCTAATGGAGGAGGTCGACTTTCATCACAGTCCTATGTAAGATCGGAGCTAACTCATTCCAAACCATTTACATTACCTGCTATGTATTTGTTGGCTTTAGCTGTTTGTTTGGCATTAATACTTGTGATAATTAGTTTTGCATGCTTTTATGTGAAACTTAGAAAAACAAATTCGATGAGTAAAGGCGAGGAAAAATATGGTAAGCCTATTTTGAGTCATTTATTTTATTTACAATATAATATTTGTTCAAATACACTAATCATTTAGTAAATTGTCGAGTTATTTCGTAACAAAAAATAGTGTAATATAAATCTTAAACATATTACACAATCAATCTAAACGTTATTGGAACAACAGAGATTAAGCATTTGCCTTGGTATCGATTATAACTCGATAACTGAATCAGATACCATTTCTTTATCCAATCTATTTACATTCAATTAGATACAAATCGAATGAGAATAAGGATTGCTTCACTTGTTTCGAAGTTATTCTGTAAATGAGTACACGAAAAGCTTCGATAAATATAGACAGATTATCCTGGGTTTTTTTTGTCTGAAAAAAATATATGAAAACGTGATTACTTAGTTTATTAAAGGTATCACTCAACATTTTGTTGAAAAACTATTTTAGACAGATACAAATTTTTATGTCAAAGAGTATCATAAATCAAGTTTGTACTCCTTGAAATCAGTTCATGCTAGGGTTTGATAACATTATTATTCCGCATGCGTTCAGCTTTCATTTCATAAAAATGGTATTAGAAAGAGTTTATGAGGAGCATGATGCAAATGATTCAGTACAATTATTGGTCATTTACATATTGCTGATATTTTCATTATGAGAGCTTTTCTGCCTACTCTGATCTTCAAGCAGTTAATTTACTGGCACATTGATGAAACTGAAAAAGACGATAAGAGAATTTATGTGACAGCCTTCAGAGTTTACGAAAATCGAAGAGATACTTGATAAAACGATTTCAAATCATTACTGATCCAGCTGTTATGAAAGGTTGTACGTTTTCAGCGGATTAATTTACTGGATTAAGTGTAATTTAGTGGAGTATCGTACCAGTTGATTTAAAATTGTTTCCAGCTTGAGTCAGGAAATGCGTTTAATTAGACTTCAGTCATTGCTAGGTCTTCCACATATTTACGTTTGTCAGCTTTGATGCTCTTCTATACTGGCTTGTTTTCTTCTGTGTATTCAGCTTGTACCTTAACTTTCTCTGCTCTTGTTCGGTTGATGTTGATTGCTGCCATCTCGTTCATCCTTTCTTGAATTTAATCAAGAGTAGTTTGATGTTTTCTACTTGATGTAACGCCGAACCACTATACTAGTGACACACCGAACGTTAGACTCCCACCGTTCAAAAATAAGAAGACAGAAGACGTTGGAGAACACTTATTAACAGAATCAAAAATATACAATCAAAGATGCGTATTTATACAATTATATAAATGTCGTTTGAATATTTTGAACATTAATCAAATAGTTCATCATGAATACTAATCATATAGTTCATCATGAGCATTAATCAAATAGTTCATCAATCCACAATGTACGTGGCTTTCTTCTCGATTGGATATCCCAACAAGTAGCAACAGAAATCCATTCCTTATGGTGGTACTTCCTGACATGTTGAAGTGATTTCTTCCTTAATTCCTTTCCAATTGTTCTCCATGGTAGTTTCCTCGCAATCGAGTAGTTCATGTAAGGCATAGAATCTATTGCTGAGTATAATCTATGACCAGTTTTTTGAGGACGTATAGGTCTGCGAATCTCTCACCCTTTTCGTTCCTTTCTCTCAGTCCATGCTGTTTCATGATGTCTTCATATCCAGTGTTGTCCACGCCAACGTTGACATTCAGGTCTTCCATCAGGATGGTCAAATCCTTCGAAGAGTATCTGCTGACGATTGACTGCAGCCTCTCGCAGAATTGGTCTTTAACGTCTTCGTTTTAGTCGTTGGTAGATGCATAGCATTGGATGACGTTCATTGTAATGTGCTCTCTCTTTGTTTTGAAGGATGATTTAATGATCCTAAGTCCATGAGATTTCTATCTTAACAGTGCCTTTTGTGCATGTTTGGAGAGCATCAGTGTGACTCCTTGTGTTTGTGAGGCATTTTCTTCTTCATTACCGGAGTACAACAGCAGTTCCCCTGAAGCTAGTCTCCGTTGTCCAACTTGCGTCTAATGCTTTTCGCTGATTTCAAGCACCTCGAGGTCGTATGTTTTCATCTCTGCAGCAACTTGGAGTAGTCTTTCGGTATCTCACACTGTTCAGACATTCTATGTTTCTAAAAGAATGATTGCTAAAGTTTTCAGAAAGGGTATTATCCTCATCACTTCCGAAAGAACACGTCTTTCATCAGGAGACGCCATAACTCCTATAAATGAAGACGTTCTGACTCCCAGAGCAGGGTTTATATGGTTTAAATTAGCCTTTTCTTGTTAGCGTTTTTTAGTGAGTTAGTTTTTTGTGGAATGGGGTCGCCAACCCTATGCCCGACCTTCCTCCTTTACCCGGGCTTAGGACTGGCAGTAGCCCCAGAGGGACGGAGTTACGTTATGGGTAACTACGACAGATCTAAATTGCTTGGATTTGTGATTTTTGAACAAACCATAAGGACTAATTTGTTCAACCAGATCAATAAGATGAAGATTAAGCTAGAATTAGATTGAGTAGTAATAAATGAATTGAAATTGTTATTTTTGATGAAGCATTAATTTTGTTGTCACATTTCTTTTTTCGAATTGTAGATAGTGTGGAGAAGAGTGAACTTCACACTGACAGTTTAATCAGCTGTAAAAATGTAAGTCACTTCACATGTTATACACTTAGTAAAAATATATTCTCTTTTAAAATTAACTTCAAACACTACAGGATAAACAGTACTTGAAAAAAGAAAGCAATTGTGTTGTGTATAAACATAAATTTTACTTTGTTTTTTTTAAAGATTCGATCAATTCTGAAGTACTTTTCGTCACCAACTAACAGCTGAGAAACAAGAGAGAACCAGAAAGTGTTGAACACCTACAGCATCCATGAACATGTTTTCTTCACTAAGATCACCTCAAAAGGAATGAAACATTAAACTTTCAGGCCTACCAACACATTGAGTCAGGATTCAGTGTAATGTGCTGTTCTAATCTCCATAAACAATACAATTAAATCATAGTCATGTGTCCTCGTTTCACTTTAAAAATAGCTCTCAAAATTCCACGATAAATTTCTTATAGATTTATTGTGATATCTCTTTACCACTGGGATGATCGTCCTGTAATACCAATAACTGATTGTAGTTAGTAACATGGAAGTGCTATTTGCCTCCTTGATCTATAGGCAACGCGTTTGCAGGGAGATCAATTTTTTTCGGATTCAATAATTGGTAAAGCTGTGAATTCACACTGTTGAGAAAGCTCAACAGCAAATGCATTTTGATTTTTAGTGTAAGTGATGGTAAGCCCATGGCAAGAACCATGACGGTCATTAATATTTTAAACTCAGTAGAATCTATCACGATAACTTTACCGAATGGCTTATGCAAGATATTTTAGTTAACTATTCTACTCAATGTGCTGCGAAAATGTTTTGAAATACCAACTGTATCAGATGTAATGTAGTATCAAAGTCGAACTCAGTTAAATATATGTTAAGGAAGCATAAAATTAGTATATTTTATTTTTAGTTATATTCTATACATTTGCATCTTTAGTAAAACCAAAAAAGAAATAATTTGCAAACAGTTAATAACAATCTAAACTTCCATTAAAAATTTTAGTGTTGCTGTAGAATTTATCATAATAACATTTGATTTTAATTACAATGTGATATGATGTAACGCAGTCTGTTGTTTATTTCAGAATAATAATGGTGATATCCGCTTGAACAGTACATTAACAAGTCACACAAAACATGATGATTCACAAACAAATACTGGTTCACAAAATAAACTATTTTCTGATTTTGGCATTAGTACAATTAATTGTAGAAGTTTATCACCTACATATATTGTACGAGCTTATGATCATATCAATGTTGTTCCTTATAACGATTCTCATACAAATACAATTATGTCTAGTAAGTTCGATTGTACTGATTCCACTAAATGACAGGGTTAATTTTTTTTTGAAATTTTTTAAAAATTGCAGAATGAATGAAACTCATTGGTGTAAATCTGTCTAACGGTTAAAAACAGAATATCATAACTTGTGTTCATGGTTTTTAGCAATATTTAGTCAGTGTTTATTTAAATTATAGAATATGTTTGACTATTACATAAAGATGGAACAGCAGACAGATTTTAAAAGTACGGAGAAATACTTAAATCTTGCATACAAGATGAATGTACAAGTGTTGTTCTTCTGAAGTAGTTTGATTTTCGTTTCTTGATTATACATATCAGTTCACTGAAGCTAATAACCAAACCACATCATGGTAGTACTAAAGAGTGAGTAGATCACATCATAATGATAGACCGATGAAAATATCTCCTATCTACTACCCTTATAGCTCAAAGCTGTAATATGATTTCAGTTTTAAAACCATGATAATCCATTGTTTTGATAGCTGAAAGAGTCGATGAATTAATAAGTCTCTTAAGTGAATTTACAATGTTAACAGTCATCAGAACTTTCTTTTTGAGTTTCATTAGAATCTTGTCACTTTTAAGCATATTTGTTCAAATATGTAAATCCTTTAACATTCTAGGTACAATAAACTATTCAATAACTGAGATTCTCTAACAAAACTCTAAAAGAATTACTTACAATAGTATATAATTTTCAGGGTTGTTTCAGCTATTCATTCACTCATAACAACACCAAACTGTTCGCTTTGAAATCTATTGAGACAAACCATTTTGCTCAAAAGTGTAAATTATTTAGACTACATTGTCAGTTCTAAGTATTACTAGACAAATTAATTATTAGTATAAATATCTCCTCAGCATAACTTTTAAATCAACAAGTACTCGTGTTTTTTATGTTTTTCTTAGTTCCTCATCGCACTATAGACAGTTCCGACTACACTCCCCTAACGATTGGCCAATTAAATTCTCTACGTAACTCCAGTTTATCACCATCAGTTTTACAGAACAATTTAAACAAACAAGTGAATAATAATAATGATAATAGTAATAATCAGAGACTGTTAGAGAACGCATATTTACTGAAACCATGTGATTCACTATATGACGAACAAACGTCACCGATGTTAATCAATCAACTAGAATTATGCAAAACATTGAATCGACAAAGGCAGTTTAATGTATTGTCTAGTCACGAAGTCGAAGTGTTAAATACAAATATTCCCAATGAAAATGACGATGCTAGGAATATTGATAAATTACTTCAGAAAAGTATTTCAAATTCCCCTACATCGTTGATCAACACTAAATGTCAGAATAATAAACCAACGCTAACAAGTTTTGAAGGAAAGCTAACTGATACATCTAACGACAATAAACATGGCTTTGAAAAGAATCAATTACTTCCAGTGAGTAAAACATCACTATTGTCAGCGCCAATCATTCAAAACACCACCAGTAACAACAATAGCAGTGATAATAACATCAAAAAAGATCATTTTTCTACAATGCAGAAACCAAAATTTAAGCTATTTTCTACGAAAAAATGTGAATCACACAAAAATAGTATCAGTATTGATAATAGCTGTCAATCAAAAGGCGACGGTTCTCACTTGTTGGTTGATCCTGATCAAATTTCTAATGATAAAAATGGGAACTTAAATGACTTACCTCAGCTAACATCATCTTTTGTTTAATTCAATATAGTATGTAGAACAAAAATGTTTACAGTATCACGTATGATATCTTGTGTTTGTAGTTTCCGGCTAAATCAAATTATGTATTTGAGAACAAATAATGTGATCACATCGGACAATTCTTTTTCTGTAGTGCTCTTGTCGTTTGATTCACATGATACTGCTGTGAATTTTAATTTGTTCCATAATATCAAAGATTTGTAAATATATAATTTTGTATATAAATGTGTTATAGGAAAATGAATTAAGTTGAAAATTTTTTTTTTGGACGGATATAAACCAAGTTATTCGGTTACCATATTGTGTGTAACTGTTATTCCTAAGCCTAAATTTGGACAGATTTACTTTCTGTTCTCAGGTGTTGGTTGAGTTGAAACTAAACAAAGGAGTCATACTCCACCAAACTTTCAACACACTATTCTCAGTTGTAAATTATTTTTTATACCGTGATAAGTTATGCAGTGAAAAGAAACATAAACTGAAGAATTTCACTTCGTAAATTGTGTCTGTAATCTGAATATGCTACCTCTATGATCAACACAGGAACCAATAATCATTTTATTTAATATAAAATTGGAGTTTCTAAAACAAAACTAAGAAAGACATTCAAGACACAGACCGTTTACCAGATAGTGTATAAATTATAATTCATCCAGTCTCTGATGCTTTTTAGAACTCCCTTTAGAAGCAGTTCAAGCGGAACAATAATACGTGTAAATAGAACCTTACTTTTTTACTGTTCAATAAGTCTGATATGTCTAGCACTTCCTTATTCATTTATTGTACCGGTGTTACATATAGAATTATAATGGTCACTAGGAACTTCATTTGCGTCATCTTAGGCTAACTATGTCTTTAGTGAATAAGCTTCTGTAGTGTATCCTAATTTACCAGATAAAGCAACAAACAAAGAGAAAGGAAGAGCCTGGAATGAAATGCTCATATTTGTTGAATTTATTTAATAAATGGACGGCAAAGTGTTAGATATTGCACAAATATTGAACAATGAGCGTCAGATGAAATGAAAATTTCTGGATACATCCTCTATTCCTGTGATATTCATATAGTACCAATAACCGATTGCATTTTATTTCATTCTATCCAGTTATGGAGAAATTACGATTTTTAACAAAGTACTCATAAATAAGTTTAATAATAATTCTAAAATATTAGAAATGAAACGACTATGTGGTATGACAAGGACTTATTCAGAATAGATGAAAATAAGCGATAAAATAAACGATGAATCGAGTTAAATTCAACAAGGAACTAAAAGTTATAAAATGGAAGTATATCATGTTTCATTTCTGTCACCGATTTCGTTGGAAGCTAACCACGGACTGTTTTGGTTTAGTAAAGTCACGTTTCAGTTTCGTAGTTGTTAGGACGTAAGCAAACCTCAGTATATTAGAACCCTATTGTTTAGTAAGTAATTCGAAAGCGACCCATACCAGGACGAAATGGCAGTCGGGCGCTTCGAATTTTCTAATGGTCGTCTAACATCGATCAACTCATGATTTATGGCTGTGAAACATGGCCAGTGAGAATGCAAGATATTCGTAGGTTACTTCTTTTCGATCATAGGTATTTTAGATGCATTGCTCGTATATCCTGTGACTATCGAGTGAACAATGCCGTAATTGGGAAACGGGTGCTAGGTAGGGATGGCAGATCAACAGATGAAGTAATGAATCTGACTGGTCTCAATCACTGACTGTGACATAAAAGTCTTCTCGTGACAATCACAGGGGAATAAGTCTAATTAAACTAGTTTCTAAATTGTTAACCTCGATTATACTTAGACGCCTAACTAGAGCTCGTGAAGAGCAGACTCGAGAAAACCAGGCTGGTTTCAGACCTGGACGTGGCTGCATAGACCACATCTTCACACTCAGACAGGTCCTGGAACACAGGCACACATTTAGGCGTCCTAAAATAGTTGTTTTCCTGGACCCATAAGCGGCATTTGATTCTGTAGATCGTGAGGTTCTGTGGCAGTGTCTGTCACTGAAAAGCGTACCAGAGAAGTACATTAGCCTTATACAAGCTCTCTACTAGAACACGACTGGTCGGGTGAGAGCATATGGCGAACTGTCACCGGAATTCTCTACATCAAGTGGTGTCCGTCAGGGATGCCCATTCTCTTCATTCTTGTTTAACTTTGTCGTAGATAATCTTCTAGAGTTAACATTATCATCCTCTGGCTTTTCAGGGGTGGACCTTCTACCAGGAGACACACTTGCTGACTTAGAATATGCCGACGACATAGTTCATTTTGGTAGAGAGGCTGATTAAATGCAGAGTCTTCTGACTACCCTAAGCAACAATGCAAGCATATTTGGGATGCGGTTTTCCCTCTCGAAATGCAAAATGTTGCTTCAAGATTATGTTACGTCGGCACTCGAACTAGTGATAGGGAATGAAGTAGTTGAGCGTGTAAACTGCTTCGCTTATCTTGGAATTCTCATCAGTGCTGATGGCCTAGTGACTGACGAAATCTCAGCACGTATAAAGAAAGCTCGATTGGCTTTTGCCAACCTGCGTCACCTATGGCTTAGGCGAGATATCCGTTTGCTGACTAAGGGACGAGTGTACTGCGCAGCAGTTCGCTCCTTCCTACTTAAAGACTGTGAAACATGGCTAGTGAGAGTAGAAGGTATTCTTAGGTTGCTGGCTTTTGATCATAGGTGTCTCCGTAGCATCGCTCGTGTATCGTGGGACAACCGAGTAAGAAGTGATGTCGTCAGGAAACGGGTGCTAGGTAGGAATGGCAGATCAATAAATGGAGTATTGAAACTTCATCAGTTGAGGTGGTTGGGACATGTGTTACGTATGCCTAATCACCGACTGCCTTGTCGTGCTATGTTTTGTGGTGTAGGAGTAGGTTGGACGAAAGTTAGGGGCGGTCAGACCAAAACATTGCACAAATCCATGAAGTCATTGACAAGTGGACTGAATAATGTTGTTAGGTATCGACTACCTGCTTGGGGTCCGCGAGATGATAGTAATCGATGGTTAGAGACCCTAAATGACATGGCTCAACGGCGCAACGGAGCAGGTGCATTCATTCTTTGTGTTCTCTCAAATCCTAAACTTTTTTAATTCTGTGCTAATGTGGTATGGCAACATGAACTGATGTACTTACGTATGAAGTTCTACTTTGCGATTGAATGATTGATTCAAAGTGAGTTAACAATCTCCACAGCCCTATAATAAAATATCTTAGCAAAGCACAAGTTATTGTGTTAAAAGTTTCATTATTGCATCATAATAGGTTATTCATTGCATGAGATTTGCTTCATTATTACATAGACACATGACTGATATACTCGCAGTCCATATTCACCCTTATTTTCCCTTCATAATACTCACTAAATCTAGTTAATCATAAACTACAAACATCAATTTCAATATAAATCTTCTACAGTAGACATACATATATGAAAGCTATATATTTCAGCTTATGTGATTTGATATATCTTTCAAACAATAAAGTTTTCTGATTTTTTTTTATTGAAAACAAACAAAGATAAGTAATTTGGACTCAATAAATGATTTATTCTCACAAAAGATCTATACACGGTAATATGACTAATTAAATCATTTTGGTTTTATATATCTTGTCAGAAAATTATTGTTTTTATTATTTTCAATAAAGTTTATCTTGCTTTCTTTCTGTCATAGTTTCATTTATCTTTTGTTAATCCACATTATTATTATTTTTTCCGTTATACAATTCCTTGGTTCATTTCCTACTGTGTGTTTGTTCTTTTTTTATCTTCATCATTATGATGTATCAGTTAAAAAAAAGTTTTGTTTTCTCTTTACAAATGACTTGTCGCATTATTCTAAATCATATATATATATATATATATATATATATATATATATATGAGAAATTACGCATGGATAAGAATGGATGATTTATGTGAAACATAGCTTAAATAAATCTACTGAAGTATTTTCTTATCAATAAATCCGAGCTTACTTATTCGTAATTTACAATTTGTGAATCATTTGTTGCTTATAGGAATCAATTGCGAAGCTGAATGAGCGTCTTTTCTTGTAATACTGCTATTTTAAAACTCATATCTGAAACACATTGTGGTTAATTATAGGTTCATTTGCAAATAAAATACAAATTGAATGGATCATTGAGAATATTACTGGCAAAAACCTGATGTCGTGAGTTTTTCAATATAAAGTGGTTAGTAAATAAATAGGACGTGTAAAATATAGGTGTCTGACTACTATTAACTTTGATCAGGACCAACCGTGAGCATGCAGTTACTTCTAACAGCATGGAGTAGCTAAAGCAGATGTTTATTCGGCCAATTTGACTTCAGGAACCACCAAACTCTTTTTTCCAGAAATATTAAATCTAAACGAGGTAATTCTATTCCAAACCTGTTAGTAATGCAGGAAACCTATTTACAACACTCATGAAAATGTATCCGTCATCAAACCTACAGCTTCTTTCCAATGGGATGATGGATTCACTCAAACTATAAAATGTGATAACTCCTGGGAAGACAACCACTTGGGAATGTTTCCTTAGTTACAAATAGTGCTAGTAAAGGATTATAAGTCTCAAACGATTATCATGATTTAACGTCACATTCCATGGTGAATCTGTCTCTAATTTATAGTGCATTATTTGGCCAGAAATGAAACAAGTTAGTCTTGATTGCATTAATATGATTGGAATGAGTCTTCAAATGATTTTTATTAGTACACAAGAACTAACACTGTCCTACATGTAAAACAAGGTGATGTTGCAGTATTTCATCCGAAACAGATTGCATTGTAAGTTTTACTTCACGTAGCTAGTCAAGGATATAAATACCTAGAATCGATTTGAGCTATCTCACCATTCATATTCCGATTAGTCAACTCCAGTTGTTCGATTTAAGTGCCGAATTATGGAATTTGTACATAAACTAATTTTGCTACTAGGATGTATATCATCAACTCTGTACCCTTGAGAATATGATTGACTT